TCCGTGCCGTATAGCGTGAATAACCCTGTATATCAGCCAACTAGTAAGAAAGTACCTGAATTTGCTTTCCTTGATACGTGATTTCGATGCGCCACTCTCCAGGCTCATCTGGCTTGAAAGTGGCACTATTGGTAGCATCTACCGTGGTTAAGGGACAGTCCAGTGGGCGTCCCGTGGGACTGTAGGCTGTCACCAGGATGTCTTCCCGCTTTGGGGCGCCTGCAAGCAGTCCTTTCAGGAAGAGAACATTGGTGAAGATGGGATTGTTACCCGTGGCGTTGACCAAGACCTGCACCAGCGATCCCAAAGCGCACGGAGCCATACCGGGAGGCGCAACTTCAACTAAGAGCGGCAAAACCCTGAAATAGTGTCCAGCCAGCACTTCGTCGCCCTCGTAGTTCACCACCAGCTCGTGCATCCCGACCTTTGAGGGCACAAACGAGCCGCGGCCATTTTTCAGCCGTGTGTCTTCGTACACCTTGTGGTCTGGCCCTCGAATGTGCACGGACACTTTGGAGTAGCTGAGTTGAGAGTCCACCAGCGATACTTGATAGTGAGTCTGCAATAGTGAAGACAGTTTTCATGAAATCGTGGTCTGCAGCCCAACTTTTAGCTGTAGAGCTCCAAAGATCGCCAGCTCTTTGACACACTAATTAATGGTGTAGATAAGTTCTATATTGTTAAAAATCAAATAGAAAACAACAAAAACCACCTAAAAAAAATATATAAAATAATTAATGATGCTACCAATCTTAACCATAACAAAAAAGAAACAAATTTCTCCATAAATGACACTAATAACACCCCTTTTGACGACAACCTAAGAATGGCTAACTTCTGAAATGAGTACTTTGTAAATGTGGGAATTGAAATGGCAAAAAAGATACAACCAAAAAGCAATAATACATATGAAGACAGGTCGAATGTTGCTTCCATTTATATGTATCCACCCACAGAGCAGGAAATTGCCAGATGCATAGACTCCCTGAAGAATGACTCAGCCCCTGGACTGGATGGTATTTCCACGAAATTAATTAAATTATCAAAATCAAATATTTTGGTTCCCATATCTCATATTGTAAATCTAACTTTCAAAAC